CAGATCCCTGCCCTTCCACTTCAGAGCAGCTGGAACCTGCTGTCATTTCGTATTTGTCTGCACGCTTATATGTTTAATGACTGCCCGCCGGCTCGCCCAGTGTCTGCACAGGGCAAGCACTCCACCAATGTTCTGAAGGGAGCTCGCTGAGAAGGCCACGGCCACACCCGCGGCCCAGCCTGTCACACCCGCTCACACTCAGGCCGCACGGCAGATGCCAGCAGGACCACGAGAGGAGGCCGGCGAGGACGCGGACCTGCCTGGGCACCCGTGGATCACAGAAGGGGCCCTTCTGACTCGTGCTGCCTTCGGACTCCAGGACCAGGACAGGGGTGTCTGGGTCAACGCCAGCGGGTGGAGTCTGGAGCCGGGGTCTCCCACTGCGGGCCCTTTGTCATTTCCCGGACAAAGGCGCCCGAGAACTGTCTGGTTCCAAGAATGGAGAGCAGTTGGCAGCCTCAGGCCTTTGTCTGAATCTGTCTCTGTTCCGCCCAGACACCCGAGGGACCTGCTGCCCCAAATAGAGTCCGGGCAGAGCAGAGTGCCCAGAGGAAGTGTGCTCTGGGCCCAGCCCTGCAGGCCCGACCGAAGAGCAGTCCCTCTCCTCCCCAGGCCGGCCAGGGCCCAGCGCTCTGGAACCAGGTCCTTATGGACACCTCAGGAGGTAGGGACAGAGCTGGGCAGAGACAGAGGAGAGGGTCATAAAGGAGAAGAAGGGAGAGAGATGCTTAACCAACTATGCACTGAGCAGGGCACGTGGAATACAGGGATAAGTCAAGATGGCAGGGTAAACACAAGGTGACATTTCCCATCCTCCTGCAGCCACATAAAATATGCGGCATAATATATTTTTAAGTATTTTAAACATACAGCATCTGGCTCATAAGCAAATAATATATGAAATTCAGGCTCTAAGAGAGGAGGAAACCATACCAGGGAGAGGCTGCTGCCCCACACCCCCTGGGAAAACCAAGGCTCTTGGGGTCGAGATTTCAATGCTAATCTGAGTCTGGGTCCAGGCGACGGTCCTGGCGTGGGTAGGAAGCCAGGTGCCATTAGAAGGACAGCCATTAGAGGGTCGATTAGAGGGACAGAATCTCTCCACCATCAGCCTGAGTCGCTGCAGGAACTGAGGTGCTCTCTCCCAGCCATGGGTGGATTGAGGATTAGAGACACCAGGTCAGAGCGTTGTCGAGCCTGAAACATGCACTCGTGTGAGCCCCGGATCTGAGCTCTCCGCTCGGTGTAGAACTCCGGAGCTGAGAGAGACATCAACATACCCTGGAGTCCAAGAGCCTGCGCAGGCACGCAACCCCGAGTTACCCACCACGCGGAGAACACCTGCACGGTGAGCCCAGCCTGTAGACTCAACGTGCGAAATGAAGAGTTCACACCTGAAGAGCTAGAAATAATACAGACAACGACTCCAGCTCAGTCACTGTGGTCTCAGGCTGCCAGTCTGTAGGAGGAGGCAACCCAACGAGCAGTAACAGGCTGGGCTGAGCGTGGCAGATGCAGCAGGTAAGTACCCAGAGGTGTAAGCACCTCCCATGGCCAGCGACACGGAGGCGCTAGTTCAAAGTGTGTCAGCATGACAGGAAGCGACACCACATTTTGCAAGCAAGTGCCATCCAGCCTGGCATGTGGTTGTGTGTATTGTCCTGTGTGTATGGTTGCGAACGTGTGTTGTTGTACATAAATGTCGATGTAGGAAACATCCAAACCTGTGGGGAGTTTTTATAGTTCATTTGAGCCAAACTGCTGGCAATCTCTAGGAAGCAACATCTCAAAAGACTGAGAAAATGCCCACGGCAGTTTTGCAGTTTATTTTATACATTGGGGTAACAGGGGAAGGCGTAAGGGGTTACGTGAAATCCATGGGTGATAGATTAGGGAGGTGGGAGGAAGCAAAGGGGGGAAATCGCTGGCATTGGATACAAAGTAAAATGGAGAGACATATACCTCTTGTACAGTGGCGGGTACAAGACAGCTAATAATTAACATTAACAGCACACAGAGATGGTATTTGGGGAACAAAATAACAATGAGGGGTCCTGTGGCCTGTGCTCTGAGGGGTGGAAAAGGAGATTACTCTGACATTTCAAAGGTCTGTTATCTGTCCCTGGCTGGTTTGGCTCAGTGGATAGAGTGTTAGCCTGCGGACTGAAGGGTCCCTGGGTCAAATCCAGTCAAGGGCACATGCCTGGGTTGCGGGCTTGATCCCCAGTAGGGGGCGTGCAGGAGGCAGCTGACCAATGATTCTCTCTCATCATTGATGTTTCTATCTCTCTTTCCCGCTCCCTTCTTCTCTGAAATCAATAAAAATACATAAAAAACAAAGTTATGTGATCTTAGATGCAAAAAGACAGCAGAAAGGCTCACTTAAGGTCAAGATGGACCTTTGTGAGGGAAGCTACTATGGGTCTAGGGCAGCCGTGGGCAAACTAGGGCCCGCGGGCCGGATCCGGCCTGTTTGAAATGAATAAAACTATTGAAATAAAAGACTGTACCCTTTTATGTAATGATGTTGACTTTGAATTTATATTAGTTCACACAAACACTCCATCCATGCTTTTGTTCCGGCCCTCCGGTCCAGTTTAAGAACCCATTGTGGCCTTCCAGTCAAAAAGTTTGCCCACCCCTCGGCTAGGGTGTGAGTGCCCTTCCAGTCAAAAATTTTGCCCACCCCTGGGCTAGGGTGTGACTCCCGTTAGGAATTGGTTTGTTCGGACCATGCTATGTGGTTACTTCCACGGCCTGAGTTTGTAGGTCCCACCATGTAGGCCTGCCCTGAGCTTGTTGGGTTCAGTATGGGGCCCCTTTTTGTCCACAGTAACATACAAATAAAGACACACAACTGTGTGGGCAAGTGTGGGTGTGTGTCCAGTGGTGACTGTGAGTGTGAGAGGACATTCAGATGCTCAGGTCTCAGTGGGTGCACAGTGAGCATAAACATGAGTACGTTGATGCCATGTGAACTGGTGTAACCACACAACCAAGGGGTCCGGGCTGCCTGGCACGACTGGAGCCAGTTCAGCAGAGACAGGGTGGAATCACATGAGCGTGTGTTCCAGTGCTGCCGGCAGGATGGGAGAGCAGCAGGCCACCCACAGCATGTGCTCTGCCCTCCCCATAAGCCAGCTGCTTACATTGGGCAGAAGGACAAAGATTACTCAGGAAAGTAGACAAAAGGGTCTGCCAAATGGGCGGTTCACAGCCAGTGCAGGCTGAGGTTTGCAAAGGCCTGCGTGCATGCAAAGGCTGGGGGTCATCAAAGGGCTGGTGAGTCTGATTTCTGCAACAAGGCTGCTCATCTCTCCATGGTAATAGGCAGCTCCCAGATGGGGAGGCTGGGCTGCATGTCCAGGTGAGCTCCCAGGTCCCACGTGCAACCGCCAGCCAGCTTAGAGTGTGCCTCCTTTCATCAGAACAGAACCATCAGAGTTAAGAGCTCATGATTAATATTTCTTGCAATTATGGCTGGTCCCCCGTATTCTATTTCTGTCCCTAACACTCAGTCAAGCTCATAAGTCCTTCCGATCCCAAGTTTACTCATCTGTGAAACAGGCTTACCAAATGGGGCTGTAGTGACAATTCAGGAGGAGATGCATGAAAAGTGCACGGACACGTGGAGTTTCTTATTCTTGTTTACAGTGTCACTGTGTGTGCATGTGCGCGTGTGCATGTACGTGTGTGTGCGCATGTGCGTGTGTGTGTGCATGTGTGTGTGCATGTGTGTGTGTGTGCTGGGTAGGGCACGCCCTCAAGTTCATCTTCCCAGGCTTCTTGAAGTCTTGCCTTCGCCTTGACCCCAGGAAGCCTCCCATGGCCCTGACTCAGCCACACTGGGGCTGCCTCCTAAGTGTGTGGAGGAGGTTGTCCAGGGGAAGGCCCAGGGCCTTCCCCCACCCCACCCCACCCCACCTCACCCTTCCTCTCCCTCCCCTCTGTCCCCTCCGTGGTTCTGCTGAATTGGGTATTTCTCTGGCTCCTCATACACAGAACACCGCTG